GCACGAGGGCTGGGATACTGCCAGGTTGCCCAAACCTAGACGGGAGAAGTCGAGAGGCAGAGGACGGGTTCGAACCACGGACCTTCCGGTCAGTAGATTCGCGCTCTAACCATTTGGGCTATCTCGCACGCTTTCAGGCACCGCTTGGATGAACCAACATTGCTAATGTAACATGAATCTTGAAGTGACCTCAGCAATTCACCATCATCCGTGAAATTTGTCAGTTTCAAGTGACCAGCTTATTTTTCGCAGATTTTACCTCCTTTCTCGTTGAAGACGAAATGTTTCCTTCTGAATTCGGTCTTTGCACTTTACGCTCTGCAGTGGGGGTCTGTGTTGGCTAGGCTATTCCCGAGTACCAAATTGTGACTGTGTGTCTCAGCCTTATCGATGTTCATTAGGTGTGTAGTTGTCTTACTGTAGACGTAAACCTCGTAGTCTAGGTGGCTAGAACGCTTCTCGTTTCGCTGATCAAAACTGAGTTGTTGTTGCTGGGATGAAACGCCCATAAAACGCTTATTGATCTGTTTTCAGTCATCTCTAATGAATTCAAGCTGTCTAGATAACTCGAGAACGCAGTGATTGTCTTCCGAAATAGATAGTAAATCTCCATAAAGGAAACTACTCACAAGGTTGCTGAAAATTCTTCGACAGCCCACGATCGGTTTCGCCCTTCTTGGGGCTCATCTGGTAGACGCAGTCCCCGAGTTTCCGTCAACCTTATTTTCTACTTGAACTCAAATGGGACTGGTTGTGACAAATACCCTCAGTTGTAGATCAGTTTGGTTTTCGCGGGAGACTCAAGTGAATATCGTGCCGATTGAAACATAAGGCGGCCTGTGCGCAGCACATTCAGTTGTAGAATATCACAAACGAGAGATTCAATTGAGTCTATCGTGAAAACCAAATAGCTAGTATACCGTCTACCCTCCGTATAGATAGAGTAATCTGGAATCTAGACATTCAAGTCCACGACCCTCCCGTGTTGATTTTCCTACTCAAGCGGACCACAATTAGTATGACGTTACCTGCGTTGAAAGTAGAAAGAAATACTCTACAACGTTGTGAAGCATATGTTGCTCGGGTACGCTGCTTGGATGTTGGTTTTCTCGCCGAGCTTGGCAGTTGGATTGCGAACGTGAGGTGACAGTCAATGCAGGATGGAGTGGTTGGACCTCCTCTTCTCTCTGCTAATACGGTTTCTAAACAGTATCTGATAACTGAAATGTTTCGTTAATCCCGGGGTCGTTTTCGCGTAATTTTGTTGGTTAACTTGTAATATGATCCCATTTCCTTGCTTCTAGTTTGTTCGGCGGTTGTGTTCCTCTGTTGTGACTGGGCTGCTTCCTTCTTGCCCCTTGAATTAATTTCGTTCAACTAGATTGGTTAATTCCAATGGCCTTCTATTTTTAGTAGCTTTCTTTGATGCGATTGGTCCGTTGGTTGTCGTCTCCGTGTTTTGTATGATCCAGGTTTTGCGTTGTCCACTGGTGCTGGTGCATCAGGGATATCGCGTTTAATACTTAGCCATCCAGTTCTGGAATTAACTGAACTTGCCACCGCCTCCGACGCCCGGCTGTATGTCCCATTCTCTGCCTTTTTGCGGAACCGCAACAGCTGGAACCAGTATCTGTAATAAACGGTATATAGCTGACAAAGTGGAATGACGTCTTCAGATGGCTTAGGGATTCGAGGCACTATATGCCGCCTAAGTTCGACTTCTTTTACACTGCTCCTGAATGGTCTGGTAGAATGGCGTAGTCTTCAGTTACCAGTGCCGAGTTCAGATCCCACTAGGGGCTCTTTATAAGGTTAAAACTACCGTACAGCAGCGCTTCCCCGCTCTTCAGCTTAGATCAACATCATTTACAGGATGAAATCTCCACTGCAATTTGAAGATCTCGTCTTACTGCCGTCAGACAGTACTTGAAATTCCTAGTTGATCCAAACTCATGATCCATCGGTTCAGTTGAGTATGGTGCTTGCCCATACATGGCCAGGCAAGGGTTTTGCTGTCCCCGTAACTCCCCAGTCAGGGTCTGTGTTGCTAAGGTGATTCTGTACAACTCTACCGGAAATACAATGGCGTATCCCAAATATATCAGTTCACACACGTGTTCTAAAATGGTGGGTTTTATCCAGGTCTGCGCAAACATTGCGCCGGTTGTCCCAGGACGGATGGATTTTATGGGTAACCATTTTCAACAGAATGTGAAGGATGTTCATCCATTTGTAGTTTGAATTGGCATTCAACCACAAAATGCAGTTGGCTCTATGTATCGAACATACACTATAGTTTTTCGTAGGCTTTCAGAAATGCGCCCCCCCTTTTTTCGGGTGTACTAGGTTGGGGAAGGTGGTTCCGTAAGGTGTTAAACACTGATTGACGAGGGTTAACGGGGATGTAACAAATCAATTTAGCCAAAAACACCAAGGGAGTTGGTCATCTTTCTGATGTGACCGCCACGGACTTACTCTAGCTTTGTTGACAAATGAGTCGAAATTAACTTAAAATATCAGCATTCCGCAGGACCAGACTACAAGCCAGAGTAGAAACCACACTCATTTAATAATGGTTAGAGTTTTTATTCTCTTTCGTTCGTGTAACCTACAACCACATCGACAACTGGGTGGTTCTGATGCAGATCACAGACCGATTTGTGAGTTGATATGCGAATCGAAAGAAGAAAATTCCTTACGAGAGGGGAGTGGGGACGGTTTATTTATCGACATTGTTGTAAACTATTGATCACCAATTATGAGATCTTCAAGCTGTGTAGACAGACGATTGATAGCTTTAATTCAAAAGCACAACAGTCACTAAAATTATCTACGTTGAGCTAACTCGATCAAACTGAAAACGTCTCACGTCTTCTCAGGAATAAAATTCCCAAATCGAGTTCAGAATGGCCAAAAATGAGCATTCTCATCAAATATCTCCAATCGGTTGTTCCTTCCGGTAGAAATGAGATTGCGTGCGCGCGCACGCAAAAAAAAACAGAATGTAAGGCTTTATAAGACTTTCTGCTCCAAATTTGTGGATTCTTCATGGCCTGTGTGTCAGTCTCTCACTCATTGCGTGAGCTGGGTTAAGCAATCGTGACATTAGTCAGTAACGCGATAGTTTCTTCCAAAAGGTTGGAGAATTATGGCCGAGATGTTTGCAAGTTAATCAAGTACAATCCATTTTTGTCAAACAGCCGTACATCATCTGGCAGACACCTCACTAATAGCTAAAGTGGTCAGCTGTCAGTTTCGTTGGGATACGACCAATTGAGAAGCTTTAGTCAAGGATGAACCGACAATGAACGTTTGTCAAATTAGATCACCCTCGTCGTAATACTTGAAAGTTCAAATTCTACGATAAGCAACTGAATCGCGAACGGACTTTCGCTCCGCAAATTCAGTTGAGAAAAGAAAACTAACGCGAAGTTCATGTGAATCTTGCCTGAGTTCCCCGTTCCACCATTTCTTTTTTCAGGTGTTCATTCGATTTGAAAGCGGTTGTTACAAGACAGTTATGGATGGATACAACTGTTATGGACGCAGTAAGTGACTGAGGGTCTTTAATTCAACACACGAGGCGAGTTTCTACTGTTGTGCTTACCGACGAGACATGTGCCAACATATTCTAAGAAGTTTCAAAAAGTGATGGTAGTGCTAGAAGATTTGGTAACTTCCGGCTGAAATTTCATCCTGCACATGAAGCTAATCCATGCTAAAAAGCCGACAACCTCCTCAGCTTTTCACCTATAGAGCGAAAACGAGAAGGGTGGGGGAAGAAATAAAACCTACTTTTCCGATCGTGTTTCTGTTTGGTTGAAATTCAAGACATCAGACGGCTGTTTTTTTTAAAATACGTTGTAGATTAGCAGGTCATTAAAAAGCCTCCACGGAGGTAACATCAGTGTTGCTGTGTTACATCCTATCCATTTGGTGTAATCCTTATTTAGTTCCAGTCCAATTCTTTGAAGTAACCCCAAAATTCTACACAAGCGGAGTTCATCGCAAATTAGGATCCAATTCTACTGTTCACAACTCGGTACGCTTCTGTCTAATTCGACTTTCGTGTACAAGCTAAATGCGACGGATGCTCATATATTTGTGAGTAGTATGGCTTCATTCAGGAAATTCCATTTTAGTTACCTGTACTCTGGCTGCTAAAGCTAATGGTGCTGTTACATATCGTGCCCCTATTTTGCCATAAATGAGATATTTGAGCCGCTCGAATGGGACCTCTTTAGTTTGATTCCTAAAAGGGAAGGTAGGGTAAAATCAGACGAGAAATTCAATCGCCTACAACCGGCACGTAAAAATCTACCCTGTAAAATGGCATAGTATCGCTAAATCTACTCACCCTCGGAGCAGAAACATACAACATGTATATGAAACTTGATGTTGAAACCAAACTATTTTGTAGGCACGGATGCAGGTGTGATGCGTTTCATCCTTGAAGTACAGAAAACATATCGCGGTATGCACTGTCGAATTTCGGACAAATTATTGATGGCTGACCGGTGATCTGCTCACCCGTACATTTCTAGGCAGAACATCAAAATTCCGAAGTGAGACAGAATGCGAACAGCATCTTTCGTGCAACTATTCTGCACACTGTGTCTCGTGTGGCACCGCCCCGGTCTGTCTAACTATGCCTGGTTTGTGCTTGAGCGCCACTGAGATCAACATTTGGTAGGAATCTCT